AACACATAATCTTAATGTATTTTCTTTCTTATGTACAAAAAGAACTGGTGCTCCAAAAGGTGAGACACTTGGACAAATGAAATCTTTCTGAATAAGATCAGCTAATTGTTTCTTGAGCTCATCCATCTCTGTGAAGAAAAGCCTGTAGGTAGGTCTGGATGGTGGTTCAGATCCTGGGATAAGGTTAATTTTATGATCAATTGCTCTTTTAGGTGATAGTTGGTTGAGTAAGGTTTCAGAAAATACATCTTGAAATTTCTTCTTGATTTCTAATACTTCTGGTAAGAGTGACTTCTCTTTTACTTCATCTTTGTCTTCAGTATTGTTGAGATATATGGTAAAGAGTTCTGCATCTGCTGGCAGATTTGCAATCTGTTGTTTTGAAATATAGATTGAATTGCAGCTTGAGCCTGACTTAACTTCATTGTCAGCTTGCACTTCTATTATTTTTGAACTATAGATAAAGATTATGGTATTATTTCTCCAGTTTATGGTGGGATTGGTATGAAACAACCAAGATTTACCTAAGATAAGATCATATCTCTGTAATTTCAATATCTGTATATCCATCTTGTACATTCTATAAGTATCTAATTTAAGCTTATCAATCTTTATCATAGTGGTGGTAGTAATCTTTTTATCATCTACAAGTTCAACTATTACTGGTATTGTCTTTTGCAGTTTAACTTTGTTTTTCTGTACAAATTTTTCAACAACAAAGTTTCTGGATGTGCCACTATCTAGTAATACCCATGCTGGTTTGCCATTTACTTGGTCATTAAATTTTAATAATCTTTCTTTATTATCTTCAAGATGAGCAAATTCAACTCTCTTATAAGATTGTGAAGATTCTTCCTATTTGTCTTCAATATTTGCAATTTTGACCTTTGGTTTTGAATAATAATTCTTTGCGAAGAGGGCTAGTTTACTATAATTATAACAGGTATCTTTTGATTTATTATTTTTCTGATTATTATTATTCTTTCTGTTGTTATAATAGCTTTCTGCTTGATCAAGTTTCATTGGTATTGGACTATTATTCTGGTGATTTCTGTGTGAATTCTGAGAGTGATGACTATTATTATTTCTGCTTGGTAGACCTAGAGATTTGTCTTGGTCATATATAGCTGTATCATAGCGAATAGCTAACTTCTAAGCATCTTCTAAGGTTTTTGGTACCTGATAACTTATTTTCATCTTTGTAACCAGTTTTAGACCTTCTATAAAATATGTGACTTGATCTAAGATGCTTATGTTTATAATTTGTCCAACTATATTTCTGAATTTTGTGCCATAGTCTTGAACAGATCCTGTTTGGTAAAGAAGGTGAAGTTGTTTATAAAGATGTTGCTGATAGTATGCTTATTGGAATACTTCTCTTAAGGCTGTAATAAAGAAAAATAATCTTTTACTATACTATTCTACTATATACATAAATATTATATTATAAAATAATAAAAATATAGATTCTGAATATTAAATAAAATATAATATTAAAAATAGAAATGTAGTAATAAATATAATAATAAATGATATATAAAAAAAATAGGGATAATTATAAAATAAATAAAATTATAATAAAATATAATTTTTTATAACTAGGAAAAGATTAAGAAATTAAGAAATTTTATATTACTATGGTAATAATACTATTCTTCTATGTACATAAATATCATATTACAAGTAATAATAAAATATAGTTCTCAAATATTAAATATAATATTTAAAAATAGAAATGTGATAATAAATATAGTAATAAATAATATGAAAATAGGAATATTTATAAAATAAATAAAAATTATAATAAAATGTGATTTTTCATAACTAAAAAAAGATTAAGAAATTAAGAAATTTTATATTATTATAATAATAATACTTTTTTAACTATCAATATTATCTAATTAAAATTTTATTAAAAATATATAATAACTTTTAAAAATTAAAATATTAAAAAAAATTTGAATTATTTAAAAGTTAAATAGAGAAATAAAAAAAGAATAGAATAAATTTTTAATCAAATTTATTATTAATTTGATTAATAATATAAAAAGCAGAATTATAATACTATTAAAAATTAATAATAATTATATTATATATAAAGATTAAAGTTTATTTATATTTTAAAATAAAAAAATTTGTTATTTCATTTTATTCTTTGAAAAATAATAAGAAATTAGTTACTTATAATTATTATTATATATTTAATTTAAATAATATTAATTTAATAATTTATTTCTTATTTATTATATTATTTTTTCTTATTAACTTGAATAATAATATTTTAAAAAAAGTTTTTATATAAAATATTTCTTAGTTAAAGATATATATAAAAAAAGTTTTATATTATTAACAAGTTATTTATAAATTATAATAAAATAAGCTCTTTTATATTTTATTATTCAAATATTAACTGATTTATTATTATATTATTCAAACTTTTATTAATAATAATTAAATAAGATAAAACTTAAAAATTTACTTTATTTTTTGATAATATTCTTAAAAAATATTATATAATAAATATATAATAATAATTTAAAAAATTATATAACATAAAAATTTATTTAATTATTAATTAAAAACTTTAAAGTTAATAATATTAGAATAAAATTTTTAAATTTATTAGTTTAAAAAATTAATTTTACTTTTTATATTATTATATTTTATATTATAACTTTTTATTTATTATGTAATTTTATATTCTATTCAATAAATTTTTATTTAAGTAATAGAATTATACTTAATATTATAATTAAGTATTAAAATATAAGATATAATCTTAAATAATTTTTTTTATTTTTTTATTTATAAACTTACTTGAACTTAATATTAAATTATAAAATTAAAATTAATAAGCTAATAAAAAGAATATAAAATAATATTAGAAAATTAAAAAAAAAATTAATAAATAGATAATAAAATATTATTATTTTAACAAACTATAAATTTAATTCTTAAGTTATAATATAATTTATTTTTAAGTTTAATTTTTTTGATTTAATTTATAATAATTAATTTTATAAAACTATATAATTAGATCTTTCTATATTAGATTTTTTTATAATTAGATTTTTTATAATTATTCTTTTTAAATTTTTTATTATTTTAATTATAATTAAAAAATCTTTTTATAATTATATTTTTTTATTATTATTTAATTTTGTTTTTTCAAGTATAATAATTATGAAGAAATTTAATTATATTTTATATGTAATTTAAATTATATTAAATTTATAATATTATATAAATTAATATTAAATATTATAAAATATTTTAAAAAAATAAATATTTTAAATTCTTAAAATATTAAAGTTTTTTAAATAAAAAATATAAAATTTAATATAAAACTTTGAGAAAATTAAATTTAAAAAATATTAATTTTATATTAAGCCAAAATTGTATTAATTTATTAAATTTGTAAATTTCAATTATATATTATGAATTTTTATTAAATAAATTATTTTTTAAATATTAAATAAAGTTATTTATAAATATAATCCAGTATAAAATATAAATATATGAAAATATTGATTATAAAAATTTTTAAATTCTAATTATATAATATTTAAGAATATTTTTAATATATACAGTGATGATTATAATTAATATAGTCTTGAATTTTTTACTAATTATAATTGCATTAATTATAATTATCACTATATTATTTATTATATAAGAATTAATTTATTAATAAAAAATAATATTTTATATATATCAAATTGAAAAATTTTATATAACTCTTTTAGTTTAATAAAATTTTTTTAAATTAATTTTTTCAAAAATTACTATATAAAATTTTTTTGTATTTCAAGGATTTAAAATTTTATTTTAATTTAATTTTTACTGATACAAGTGACTCTTGTTATAATGAAGTTATTGTGCTGAGAGAAAAATCTTCACTATAGCTTATAGCGAGATATTATGCATACTTTATTATATCGAATTGAAGTTTAATAATACTGTAATTTAAAATCCTTCACTATATCGAATCTTCACTATATAGAGAGTTCATTATAACGAAAGTGACTTGTATATAATAATTATTCTTTTTATTATCAAAAAATGTGATTCTGAAATCTGAAAGAATTTTGATAACAATTTTGCCAAAATTTCGCAAGTAAACTATATTTATATTTATTCTGCAAATGATAAAATATTTATTTTTAACAAATATACAAATTTATATTTTGATAAATTTCTGTATACTTGTGCTAGTAAAAAGATGCATTAGTTCTTGAAGTTATTATCCCTACCTTATGCCAAATGGCATTCAAATTTGCATTGGTACAAGAGGGAGCATACTAAATGCCAATAATTTAAGCATTCTGAAAATGAAAATTTCATTACTTTCTTGTGGGACTGTACATTTACTAAACCTTGCGTGTCCGTTATTACTTAAATCATAAAATTGTAGATCATCTGGTTTAACGTTAAGGATTATTATTTAATTCTATTTCTTAATACTTTGATATACAGTAAATTCCTTTATACACCGGATTCGGCTTTATCGAAGCCACATTGGTGAGCCAATTTCTAGCTACATATGTTAAAACGTCATATACACCGGATTACTAATAAAAGCATTATATACCGCCTAGGCCAAATGCGGTCGTTATACAGAACTTCGAGAATCTACATGTAACTTTCAGTAATGAATTGGCTGAACTTAAGCAAGTTTACCTTAAATATTGGTAATGCAGAATTTATTTCCATAATAATTTTTTTAGTTTCCTGAATGTGGTAAATTTCATATATCGGCCGACTTTTAGAAGCGAAGCATATGTTATTCCATATCGATATTTATCGTTATTTATATTTGATTAAGAGACAGTTATAGTAATGATGTCACACGGACTTATTTGGATATTTTAATCTTTTATATAAAGAATATTTGAAGAGTTTTTTACGTATATTACTTCTCCCATTCTACTTCTAGAATAATAAAATATCATTGGAAGAAAAAAAAAGAACGGGAAATTTGTTTTATAATATATTAAATTATGATAGAAAACCAAGACGACCACCACGTAAATGTTGATTTTGACGAAAGAAATGTCGTTGCAGAGACAAACGAAAATTTTGATCTCAAACGTGGATTACAAGCAAGGCATTTGACAATGATAGCAATCGGAGGAACAATTGGTTTGTAATTTTCATTACATGTGCATGTGATAGAACACGATCCAAGTTACAATAGCTACTTTTCAGCGTACTAAATTTAAAAATCCTCGATGTTCGTACATTATAGGAACTGGTCTTTTCCTAGGTTCGGGTGCTTCAATAGCACAAGCCGGACCAGGCGGTGCACTAATCTCATACCTTGTTATTGGTGTAATGGTTTTTTTTATGATGTCGTCACTTGGTGAGATGGCTACATATTTACCGATTTCTGGATCGTTTAATACCTATGCAAAGCGCTTTGTTGACCCAGCTTTGGGATTTGCGCTTGGTTGGAATTATTGGGTGAGTGATTTTTTTTATGGAGACAGTTATATTTTGACTAAATACTAATATCCTTTTGTATTTAGTATTCTTGGGCAACTACTATCGCACTTGAAATTACGGCCGGTGCTATCGTAATGCAATTTTGGTTTCCTGATGTTCCGTCATGGGTTTGGAGTTTGATTTTACTCTTTATCATGTTGTCACTTAATCTTTTTTCGGTTAAAGGATATGGAGAAGCAGAGTATTGGTTTGCAATGATAAAAGTATTTATTATTTCATTAGGTGAATTCAAACTTTTTGACAAATTATTGAATAACTTTTTTCATCCATCGAATATTAATCTTTAGGTAATAACAGTCATACTCTTCATATTTGTCGGTATCTTACTGGATATTGGTGCAATCGGAAAACCAAAGGAATACATTGGCTCTAAAAATTTTGATCATGGCACATTTCACAATGGATTTAAGGGATTATTGTCGGTGTTTTTGGTGGCGGGGTTCTCGTTTCAGGGTACTGAACTTGTAGGGATTGCTGCTGGTGAATCAGCTCGTCCGGAAAAGGTGAACTTTTTAATTATCTTAAATGAATTAACGTGATTATTATCACAAAAAATAAGGTCTAACTTCTGATTTCGTTTCCTAATAGAATGTACCAAAAGCTATCAAACAGGTGTTTTGGCGTATTCTTTTGTTCTATGTTTTAGCTATTTTGGTGGTTGGGCTCTTGGTCGCATACGATAATCCAAACTTGTTGGGTAATAGCCAAGATGTATCCGTTAGTCCGTTTACATTGGCATTTAAATTGACGGGATTCGTCAGCGCATCACATTTTATGAATGCAGTGATTTTGACAACAGGTAAATATTATGAATTTTATATCAAAAAATAATATGATATTAATTTCACTTATATATCAAAAAAATTATATTTATCCCCACAACATAATAATAGTCTTATCAGCCGGAAATTCTGCATTATACGCAGCTTCTCGTGTGCTCTATAATTTGGCACTTGAGGGCCAAGCACCACAGATTCTTACACGAGTCACTAAAAACGGAGTTCCACTTCTCTCGCTATTAGTCACAGCGTTTATCGGATGTCTTGCTTTTTTGATGTCGTTGTATGGCGAGGGAAAAGTCTATATATGGCTTATCAATCTTTCTGGTGTTTCTGGATTTATACAGTGGGCGGGTATAAGTTTTATACATTGGCGATTTCGGAGAGCATATGTTGCTCAGGTAAACTTCTTTCTTCTCTTTTTTATTTTTTTAAAATTGGACTCAAACATTCAATGTCTTTAAACAAATTAGGAACGACCACTCGAAGAACTCGCATATCGCGCAAAACTGTACCCATTCGGCCCAATATTTGCATGTACACTCACAATCCTTGTAATCCTCGGTCAAGGGTATTCTGCATTCACATCTGAAAATGGTGTCGACGCCCAAGCAGTTGTAGCTGCATACATTGGCCCTCCGGTCTTTATTGCACTTTTCCTGGTTTACAAATTCGTGAAAAAGACGAAGATAGTCCCGTTATTGGAATGTGATTTTGATACTGGACGACGGAAACTTGAAGAAAAAGTTGTGTTGGATATCGAGGAGGAGACGAAGTTTTGGGGAAAGATTTCGAAAGCTTTGTTTTGAAATCTATTCTTTGATGTGGAATTTTTTTAGCTCGAGGCATTGATAATTTGCAATACTATTTATCTTTACCTTTATAATTTCATAAATAACACGAAAAAAGTATAATATTTTATCTTGTAATATAATATATAATATATAATATAACCTATTATTCATAGAATAAGACGGCGATCTCAACAATGATTAATTTGATGCCAATAAACGTCCAAGAAGCCATCTGACTCTGTTATATATTAAACTCTTGATAAATTGACCGTAAAATTACAATTAAAATAGCAATTCGCCTAATGTGAGTGCGTTACTCTCTCTAAATCAGGTACTCGATAAACCGGACACTATGGAACTATAAATCCGGTTTATAAAACATAGTGATAGTTAAATCTCGATTTATTAATAGAACGGACCATCCGTTTTACGAAAGTGACGCGCATAAAAATTTCTTTTATGGAATGTTTAAATTCGATGGGGGAAACTCTTCTAGTATGGGATTACTTTTTTCTCATATGAAATGCTATTTACGAAAAAATATCATGTTTTGGGTTAAATTCGTCGAGCTTTTAATCATTGAGCCCTGAATGTTTGCTATCACAATTTGAAAGTTAGGTTGACTAACGAATCATGTCATTAACAAAGGGCGGAGGCTAGAATGAATGGTTTACGCAAAGTGGGTTTCACTGGGCTCTAAAGGTCTCTGCGTCAATCTTTCACGGAATTGTGCAGGGCAAAGGTAAAGTATGAATAATATTAAATAATAACTAATTACTAACGAAATACGACTCTTAATTCTAATAACAAAAATAGCTATAAAACTTTACGAACAAACTCAATAATACTTTTCCAAAAACAAAAATAGGTTTATTCCAAAACAATAAAAAAATGAATAACAATATCGAATCAAATAACCGAATAATCCAATAATCAAAGAACTAAACATATTCAATAACTTTTTATGGCCAAAGCAGTAAAGCCTTCGATTTTGTTAAGCACAAAAGAAACAAAGATATCAATTTTGTTAAGATACAAAAGAAATAAAAGCCGAGAAGTAATTGGGCAAGAGTTAAATAATTTTATTATTTAGTTATTTTTCATCAAACCACACATTGCATTGTCTCTGATTTCGAGAGCATCCTTTTCTACATCTTTTGTTACTATATAACTATCTAAATTACAGATCGTAAGTAAGTCAATACATAATTCGCAGGTTCTAACGTACAAAGTATGAATTTTTGTAAGACAAAAGGGACATGACTATGCTTCGAGATAAAGAATATAATAAAATTAACTGTAATTATAAAAATAAAATAAAGTAAAATTATTACGTATAACACAAAATGTGGATTTTGGTATGGATCAAGAGAATAACGTACGAACGTTTGTAAGAATTTCTAATGATAATCACATTCTTGGGAGCGCAAAGTTAATTTTTATAAGGATTCGTACGATTGGGAAGGCGGTGTTGACATAAAGTAAGAATTGTTGTAATGTTGATGCTACAAGTAAGAATTTTTGTATGGATTTCGCGGGATTTTGCTCAGGTGGAAGCAAGGAATTATTTTTAAGTTTTTCGTGACACAAGACTAAGATCTTTCTTGCATCGTTCGAAGATTTTTTTGTAATTACGAGATTTCTCGTTGCAACGGCAACTAAATAAAATTTAATCCAGCACACCCATTTCGCATACCACAAAACTTGTGCTTGAATAGCGTATAAAAAGCTGATGTGAGAACCGCGCAAATTTGTTTGTGCGCGCTATTTAAATGCCATTTCAATTCATCCTTAAATTGTGCCCTTGCATTTTTTTACTCAAAAAGTTTGTCAACTCAGCATTCATGCTTTAGAGATATGCTCTTCATATAGTCACCAGCGAAAGTAATGGCGGTGAATTTTTCAAAAAAAGAAGAAATTTCATAATCATTGAAAAAATATCATTTCTTAAATAGGCATTCTACCCTTGAAAAATCATAAAAATGAAGTAACATTTGTTCAACGTTGTGTTTTTTTATTTATGCTGAACAACTTTTCTTAATAGATAAAAGCTCATTGACGTAGTAAAATCTAGAGTTCAAATGAAAATATTAGTAATCCACCATGTATCATGATCATTAAAATTCTGTCAAGGTCCGACGATCTGAACAGCACAAATACATTTTGGGTCACTGGTACGGAAATACCATCTATTTTTTTGCCACTAGCTTTTTACAAAAATTGCACCGCCATTACTTTCGCCGGGTACTGTATGAAACGCTATGTAAGAAGGTATTATTATTAAGTTTCTTAATTTCTAGATAAAAGAATAAAACAAATTTATAAAGAAATAAAAATAGGCGAAAAACATACAGTATAACTAGAATAATAATGAAACATAATAAATATATATATATATATATATATATTAAAAGATTTAACAAGAATTCTAATAATTGGCCTAAAATCAACTACGGATATTTGACATGGTAATTGTGTAAACAACGGATGCTTTCTTTTGAAAATCATCCATCTTTGACGAGTCTCTTCTTAAACCCTGAATCATCAAACTTGCAACATAACCATTAATATTGATAAAATTGCATGCTATCAAATCTTTGAAATTATTGATAATTTGTCAGGTTTATTTGCAAGGAATTCTTGGTTTTAATGTTAGTTTTTTTCCACACTGACCTCTTTATTTACATTGATATCAGTTGTATTCTTGTAAGATTCTCTGAATTTTGATAATATGTATAGTGGTTGACATAAATATATTATGACAGATAAGACATTTATTTTTATTTTTACTGTAACATATGCGCAAATTTTATATGCACATTAAATATGACTACTAACTATTTACAAAAATTTAATAGTCAATTTTTTTTCCTTTCATTTAATCATCACCAAACATGATTCTTCATACTTCTTGCTATCTAAAAAAAAGATCTTCACTCCAATCCACACATTTTATTTGAATTATCATTTGAAATTCCATTGTTGAAAGTTTTTTTTTTTGATTAATTATAAATTTACAGTAACAGTCATAAATAACTGCGTTCCTCTAATTCTTTCAAAAATAAAGCAAATTACAATTATATTTTTTTATTAAAAATAATATAAGTAATACTAATTTTTAGTATATAGTATAGTTACTATTGGATTCTATTAGTGCCATTATATAATATTTCATACTATCTATTAATTTTATGGTAAATTCTAATGGAAAATAGTTCTATTCTTTTGTTAATTTTCTCTTTAATCTATTAATTATATGAATTTTTTTAAGATTTAATTTCATGACATGCTATATATTTTCTATAGAATTTTGATTTGAAGTATAATAATTTTGATTTGATTATATTTTTTTTTAGTTTAAGATCTTTATTTTATATTATCTATATTATAATTTATCTTTATATTATATTTTATAAAGATTGATTTTACTCTAGATATACAGATAATTATTATATATTTAATTGATTTAGAATTATATATATTATTATACAAATGATCATCATATATTTTGTAATTTCAAATTTAGATTATTAATATTTTTAATTAGATATATTTATAATTATTTCTTTATATTTTATTTAATTTTTTTAATTATTATTTATTATATTTATAACTATTATTAGTTTATTAAATTATAATTAGTTACTTTTCAGAAATGTAAATTAAAGTTAATTAATTATATTCAAATATATATATTTTATATTATTAATTATTATTAATTTATTTGTATTTTATATTTATTTCTTTTTTTTAAATATATTCTTTCTGTTTTATATTTTTATCTTAAATTTGAATATTATTCAAATAATAAAAATTATAAGTTTATAAATTGAAATTATTTACTTCATATTTTATTTTATTTATAATAATTAATAAATAATTTTATAACTTAATAGACATAATTATTATAAATATTATCTATTATATCTTATATTATATACTTTATATATTAGTTTTAGTATTTAAATTTTAAAAAAGATAAATCAAGATTAATTCATATAATTTATATAAGATATAACTAAATTTATTAATATAATAAAAGATAATAGTTTTTTTAATTTAAAATTCGTATTATTTTAATTAAATTATCTATCTAGTTAAAAAATATACTTATTTAAATATTATAAGTTATAATAATATTCTTAGCTCAAGAAATATTAAAGAAAAACTTAAATATAATATATTATCACTTTTTAATTTTATACTAATATTTAAATATTATATTTTTCTAAAAATAAATATTATCTAAGAATAAATATTATTTCTTGTTTAAACTAAAATATAAAAAAATTATAAATAAGTATTATTATAAATAAGTATTAGTTTAGATTAATTAAAAAATAAGTATTATATATATTAAAATATAGATATATTTTTTATCTATCTTGAAATTATAAAATAATTAATTGTAAAATACTATCTAGTATTATAGATATCATAAATATTTGTATAGATAATAATCTTAATTTTTTTGATAGTAATATAGAAAAAATAATTAGTTTTAGATATTATTTTAGTTAATTATTTGATAAAAAGTTAATAGTATATATTTTTTTATAAATTAAATATATATATATAAGATATTTTTTATAAATCAAAAAATTATGCATTTTATATATATATAAAAATTATAATATTACAAATCTTGAGCAAGAAAATAATAATTTATTTAAAAAAAATCTTTCTTATATTATATTAATTTAAATTATTTAGAAATAAATATTATTTTTATTTTAATATATTAATTTAATAGTACTTTTTTCTGAATTGATATAATAAATATTCAAAAAACTATTTAAAAATAAGTATTACTTCTATTTTAAAGTTCAAAAAGTAATAGTTAAATAATATTTATTTTTAAATAATATAATAAATACAAGATTACAAATAATAATATACTATTTTTTTAATAAGAAAACTTTATTACTATACTTAAAAGAGTCTTTCAATTATTATAAATAATATTTTTATTAATAATTATATATTTTTTATTAAATAAATTTGTATAAGATTAT